CCAATGTCTATGAAAGTAGCTCTAATTGAGAAACACTGTCTTAAATGATTTTATCACCTTTTATCCCACACTCTATGAAAACTTAAGAATCCCATATGAAGTTTGTTCTAGAATTACAAGATTAACTTAACATCCTTTTGCAGTCTCTAGGGTGAAAGGTTAATATGTTTTGGTAATAAAAAAGCAGTCACAGATGACTGACTTTTTTGTCCAATTCTATGTTCTCAAGTCCTTAAGGAATGATATTAATGTGAACACGTCAATTTGAAGCTTTATTCATGTTTGTCCCCTGCCATTATAATAAAGGTACATGCTATTCACTGAGAACAAATGGTTGATGTGATTTTTAAAATTCATATTGAAATGACAAATAATTTGAGTATGTCAACACTAGCCTATTGAATAATGTTTAGGCTTCAATAATTCTTTTTCCATTTCACATTCCATGTTTCAATTTCTCACCAAACGTCCGTGTATTTTTGGCTTCCTCTCCCTTCCCTTATGGGCCCTGGCCACTCCCTTCGACAAGACTGTGGTGGGAGGTGCACACTGCGCCGGTTACTCACTGTGCAACTATGAATGCCATCCCCTGGAGGTTGTGCAGTGTGCAGCCTGCACAGCCCTGATCCACTCCAGACCACTCACCTGCACTTGCTTTCGCACCTCTGCGTTCTTGCTCATTGTGTTTCTTCTCTTCCGCTCTACTTTCAAATTCCTCCTTCAAGACCTCATTTACAGATGATCCCCCCTGTACATAACCTCTCTTCTCACTGCCTTTTTTTTTTTTTTTTACTAAAAGCAGCTATCATTCCCTCTTCTATAATCCTAAAGCACTGTGCATTTGGGTACTTGACAACTCTCCTCAGGTTGTATTGTAATTGATCATTTGTACTGGTCTCCTGCCAGATTCAGAAATACTGTACTCAAAGGCAGACCCTGGACTCTAACGTTGTTGCATGCCCAGTTCCGAGAACAGTTCTGTGTTATCAAGGCAATAGCTGCATGTGGTTTAACGTGTCAAATGATACCAAAGTCTTTCCTCTCTACCCCTCCCAAACCTTAGTCCTTGCCACACATTTATCAGTTTCATGGGTATTTAATCCTATTTTAAAATATCATAAAATTAATTAGACATATATTAGAGTGCAAACAGGCAGAGTCCTATTTAAATTAACACCTGGGTATCTACCTTCTGAGTTAAGAAATACAGCAACCATATAACAGTGTTTCTAAAGTACTGACGAAGTACCTGAGAGGCCATGTGCCCCTTCCCAATGAATCCTTGCCTTCCTCCACAGAGCAGTCTAGGTCATGTCTGTTGTACTCATTCCAGTGCTTCTCTTTATAGTTTTACTCCCTACAACACCCCTAAGCAATACATTTTAGTTTTGAAAAGCACAGAGAAAGATAAGTATCACATGATCTCACTGAAGAGATCAACCAATGAACTTGTTTGCATGTATGCATAACCCATGAACACAGACAAGAGCATGGTGAAGGCCTGGGGTGGGGGTGGGGGCAGCTAGAAGAGGTCCATGGGGGGAAGGGGGGGACATATGTAATACTTTAAACAAAGATTTTTTTAAAAAAAGAAAGAAAAGCAACAGCAAACACCACCGTAACTGTGTAAGAAAAGGGCAATATCCTAACAATCAGATGAATGACCCCGAGAGGAGATAAGTTGAGCAGAGGCTCAGCTTCCCTGGAAGTGACCAGAGGGGTGGTCCTGAGTGAGTCCCTGGGAACACCGGGCACCCGCTTGGGGAGGCTATTGTGTGAGCGGGGAATATATGGCCAATGGAAGTGGGCTGCTCTGAACTCTTTGCTTCCATGGCCACCTCCAGCTTTCAGGAGCAGGTCAGAACAGGTGCCTCTTCTGGGGTGAGGGACACTCCCACGCCCGCTCAGCTGGCTGGTGCGCAGTGTGAACAGAACTGTCATTAGCACAAGGCAAGCAAAGTACAGATAAGGATCTGCTTCAGGCTCATTTGGGCATTCTGTCCTCGTCTGGCTAACACTCAGGCAGATATACGCCTAAAGAAATTAGGGGCAAATGAGCAGATTGTGTCTTTCTCTTTTTTAGTCTTTTTCATTTCAGAGGACCATATATCCACCATAGGTTTAAGAGAGAGGGAATGGGAAGTAAACTTTTTGAAACCTTGCTTGTCTGAAAACATTCGATGCTGGTTTGACGGCTCCTGGTGGGAAATTATTTTCCTCCAGAAGTTTGAAGACACTGCTCCTTGTCTTTTGCTTTCAGCATTGCTGTTAAGAAGTCCGAAGCCATTCTGAATCTTAATCCTTTGTGGGTGACCTATTTGGTTATCTTATTTTATTTTATATTCTAGAAGCTTAGAAAATCTTCCCTTTGAGCTCTGTGCGCTGAACTACCACAGTGCTGTGCCTTGGTGAGGGTCTATTTTCATGTATTATGGGGGCTACTTGGAGGCTTGGAGGGCCCATTGGAAATTCTATTGGACTGCTTTGTGGATACTTCCCTCCCCTCCATTTTCTCTGTGTTCTCCTTCTAGAACTCCTAGTAATCAGATACTGGTTTTCATGGACTTGTCCCTAATTTTTGTTTTATTTTCTTTCTAATTTTATCTTTTTTTCCTGATGGGTTAACTCATCCTTATCTTCTCATTTTTCTATTGAGTTTTTAATTTCTGATATTATGTTTTAATTTCCAATAGCTCTTCAATGTTATCCAAATGTTCCTTTTTTATAGAATGTTTTTGTTTCATGAATGTAGTACCTTACTCTCTGGTGTTATCCTAATCTTTTTGTTTCCAATTATCATTTTTTTCTTCTTTCCACAAGTTCTCAGTTATTTCCTTATTCATGTTTTATAGATGCAATCACTTATTTTATCTCTCAAGAGATATTAATTACAGTTGAGGTTTTTTAAAAAGCTGTCTTCTGATTCCTGGATTCGCCCTCTTTTCTCTGAATCCCTATTTTCTATGTCTGCTTTACATTTGAAGGCCTCCCAATGTTCTGCATTGAACACTTGAGATCTGGTTGTCTGTAAATATTTAAGAATGACACACAAAACACTGGTAGGAAGACCTGTATGTGTGGATTGGGCTTGTCAACTGGTGGGCTTCACCCAGAGTCTTTGTTGAAATGTTACTTTCTAAGCAAGGCCTTCCACATGACTCAATTTAAAAATATCACTGGAATTCCCCAGGCCTCTTGCTTATTTTTCTCTAATTTATTTACCACCTAATATATTGAATGCTTTACTTACTTATTTTGTTTACTGAGTGTCTTTACCCCTCAAATGGATGCCCCTTGAGGCCAGGAATTTGTGTCTGTTTATTTACTGCAATATCTACAGCATGCAGAAGACTACCTGCACATAGTAGGCACTTGATAAATATCTGTTAGGTGTTTGAGTAAATTAATAACTGAATAAATGAACAGTCAGGTGCAGATCCCCCAACTGTTAGTGCCTGGACATTTTTCAAGCCCATCAGTTTCTCCTACTCCTTGGCCAGAGGGTTAGGTCTTCCTTCAGTTCTGGCTGCCAAACTTGGGGGAGGGGGGGCGGGGGGAGGATTTTGGCAGCCCCTGGTCAGTGTACAGGCTCTCCCAGAATCTTCTGTTTTCTGTCGGCTTCTTGCAAAGTGATATCATGTGAAATACAGGGAGAGAAAAGACTATAAGAGAAACTGGCATAAGAGATTGGCAGAGGAAAGCAACAAGAATAACAGGCAAAAAATGCATAGCCGAAGTGCCACTCCTGCTTACTTTAAAAAGCAAGTGACTCACTCCCCTATGCATGTCTCATTTTAGTAACTGCCTACAGTCTGCTGCTTCCAGCCTGGCCCCCAATTCAAGGTTGTCTGTCCAAAGACGGCCCTTAAGGAGAAACACAGCCATGGGTACTAAATGGGCCTGTGTGGCTGAGAGCAGTGAGTATTGCTGGCCACTATCTTGATATCTGAATGTAAGAGAAAGCCATGCTCCCTAATTCACTGCACCATAGAAAGTGTTAGTGGTTCTGGAAGTATTTGAAAGAACTGGACTCCTGATATATTTGAAATAAATTCCTTTCTTAAATAGGACTATTTTCTTGTTAAATACATTGAACATTGAAAGGGGCAGAATTTAATCTTACCAATTAGTGGAAGAGCATTCTGGACTGGTCCCTTTAAGCACAAGTGGTATTTAAACATGGGCTTCTATCTATGCAGAAACTTATATTTCCTGTGTCCAGGTGACTTTTCTGGTGAGCCGTGCAGGACTAAAGAAAGAAGGGGAGCCAACGAAAGCGCAGAAGTTTGTGTAACCTCTCTGGGCTGCACCTAGCACACCCAGGGTTTCATTCCCAGTGGCTGTTCCTGCCTAGGCCTCCCTCCCAGCCAGCAGGACTGCCGCCTCGGGCAGCACCCACAGCGGAGCTTTCTGGGAGGGAGCAGAGCAACTGCCTTTTCACTTTTCTTTTGTGTGTCTTGTGAAACTTGCACTACCTCATACATAAAATTACAAGTTGTTTTTAAGGTAGGAATTTTGCACTGTCTTTCCTTAGGAATCTTCCAGGTCACCCTGAGGAATGGGTATGGATGCTCTTTAACACAATCTGCCCCAGGTTCTAACCAGAGGTGTCAATGGGTCCTCCATTCCCAGAGGACCCATCTGGGGAATGGAGGGCCAACAACTCCTGGGAAGGCCAAATTAGCTCAGCTCGAAGCTGAAACCACAAAAGAGAGGAAAAGAATGAA